AGATTAGCAGAGAGTTGCTTTAGAAGGGGATGCACAAGGATGTGGAGGCGATGGTAGCTAGGTGTGAGATATGTCAGATGAACAAATACATGATCATGGCTCTAGAGGGATTACTTCAACCCCTAACTCTTCCATATAGAATATGGGAGGATGTCACTATATATTTTATAGATGGGCTACCCCGATTTAAGAGGGTTAACGATGATTCTAGTGGTGGTTGATAGATTGAGCAAGTATGCTCATTCATTCCCCTTCGACATCCTAACATGACATTGACAGTGACAGTGGCAGCAACGTCCATAAGAAAGGTGGTCAGGTTACATGGAACACTAGAAAAGATAATATCCGACCGAGATAATGTGTTCCTCAAACATTTTTTGAGGGAGCTGTATAGGTTGCAGGGAACAGTGTTGAAGAGGAGCACCACTTACCACCCCCAGACAGACGAACAGACGGAGAATCAGAGATGGTAAATAGGAGCCTGATGTTCTGCTTCAGAGACATCGTTGTTAGGCCCAAGTGGTTAGCATTGGAGGAGTATTGGTACAACACTTTGTATCATTCGGCTTCCCATATGACACATTTTAAAGTGTTGTATGGAAGAGACCCACCTCACTTGATGCATTTTAGTCAGAGCAGTGCGTCGATGTATTCAGTGGAGTAGTATTTAGAGGAGTGTGGTAGGTGTTGCATGAATTGAAAAGACACTTTTGAGGGATTATAAAAAAAAACATATGGATGGGAACATGAAGGGCATCCAGTTTGAAATTGGGGATAGGGTGTTCTTAAAGCTTCGACCCTACAGATAAAGGACAGTAGCTAACATAATAAATGAGAAGCTAGCTCCAAGATACTTTGGCTTTTCTGATATATCAGAGAGGATTGGAGTAGTGGCTTATAGTTTAAGGTTATCCGTGATCGCTACCATACATCCAATGTTCCACGTGTCACAGTTGAGGAAAGTTAGTGGGGATCATGCAGCTAGTTTAGAGTTATGGGTGACATTGGCTAAGGATTTAGAGGTGGTGCTAGAACCATTGGAGCTAAAAGGGTACGATAGAGAAGAGGGATCAAAGAAGTGCTGATCAAATAAAAAAACCTACCTAACTATGACTTTAGTTGGAAGTTGTATGATAGGGTGAAGCATCAGTTTCTGTCTTTTCATCTTAAGGACAATGATCGATCCAAGAGAGATCGGTCTAGCCAATCCAGATGGACTAACTCTCTATTATAGGCAGAAGTGTTCCACCTCCAGAGCAGTCCACCACCTTTGGGGATGGGGTCCACGAATTAATGCAAAACTTAAAGGGGAGACTAGGAGGAAAATTCAATTTAAGAGGGTTGTTTTGGGTAATTTGCAGATTTTGTATGCTCTAAGGAGGATTGTAAACCTAGGGTGGGGTACCTTAATTTTGGTTGAAATTTCGAGAGTTATTAGATTTTGTTTGGGCTCTAGCCACCGGCTATATATTGGGAGAGTTAGATCCTCCTCTCAAATTTGGGATCCATTGTATCTTGTTCATTTCTTCCCTACTTCATCTATTACAAAGTTTTTATCTTCCTATTCCTCTTGTTCTATTTGTGATTGTGTGTTGGAGATTGCTGAAATTAATTTCAGTCCTGTTTTATCTTGAGTTTTACAAGCACTACCTAACAATCATATAGTCCTCCACATTAATATGATTATTAGCAAATTCATGCAATTTACCCAACTTTCACAGATTAAATTAACTTCTAAATAGGCATTCTAATAATTTGTCAACACATCTTAGACTATTTGCGGAACCTAAGTCTTTGACTTAAAGAATTCTGATGGAAATAAATATGACATGGCAAGAAATAGTATCTCCATAGAAGTTTCTTCTATAAAATAAGTTTCATCGTTTACTTGAGGCAAGTAGCCTTACTATGGCTAAATGTTGATGAACATAGCTAATGTTGGTAAATAAGTAGTCCCTTCTCCTGAGGAGATTCAACATGTTGATCAATTCTCAAAAATTGCTCTAGTTGCCAAACGATCTTCCATTTGATTAAAATTATCTAATAATTACAAAACCTTATTGTTAAACTTCTAAAGATCTTTTCATTTCAATAGGATGCTCCATGACATAATTTCTAATCCTCAATATCATCAATGCTCATCGCACTTTATATGATATTAAATTAAAAAGTATCCAAGAATAATGTGAGGACCTTACTGACAAGCATGACTCACCCCCAAATAAAGAAAAAAATAAGAGAATTTATAGAAGAAAAAAAATTAAGAATTTTATTGAATTTTAGCAAAAAAAAGAATATAACCAATATAACACAAATCCGTCAGAATCTGCTAAGCTTGCCCTTTATGTATTTATAAGATTTTGGTCGAGGTCTGATCCAACCTTAATTTTAAGTGGGGCAAACTTATAAGTAAAAATGTAAATTTTTTTTTTCCATAAATATCCTTACAACTAAAATTTGTTCCGCATGTACTGCCTCTCGACCCCTATTTGTTCATTGTTGTATGCTTCACATATATGTCAGGGATCCAAGTGGGGCGTGCACCGGGGGGGTGGGGGGGGGGAATTGCCGAAAAACCTCTGTAATAAAGACTTAAAAATGGATGGAGAGGAACAAATTACCTAAGGAATCATATAATCCAAATACTTGATAACATCTTTAGAATCTCAAAGTACAATCAAGAGTTCAATGGAATAAATTCTCTTAGCCAATCCTCTTGAACTAACAAGCATGTTACTTCAACAAGCTATTCTGGGGGACTTAGCTGAATTGTAAAATAGTATTGGTTTGTTGATGATTTCAATTGACATTCCATAGGCAAATATAGCCTTTTATTGGTAACTTGAGCAAAAATAAATTCAAATGACTTGGAGGCTTTGGAGTTTGGGGAGCTACAATACCACTTTAAGCAGCCTTTAACCTATATGGATATCAACTTTTTCATTATAATTCATAGTTATATCACTACTTGATAGACATGACCCAACTGACCATAAGTTTAATATCAATAACACAATTGACATTTTATTAATATTCTACATTAAAGATATCTATATATATAATTTGAATCTGCTAAGTAAGCTTAATACATTAGCATTCTTCTTGTTTTTTTTACAAATTAAACTAGCTTAATAAGTTAGCATTCTTCATTTTTTTCTCACAAATTAAATATAGGCTTTAGTTTGAAAGATTTGAGAGTAAACTAAGGTTTTGTTTGGGACAGTTTTTTTACTGCTTCATAAAACAACTTTCTAGTACAAAAATTTAAATTTTTGTAATAAAAAGATGCTTAAGAAAGAAGCAAAAAAATCATCCCAAACAAACCGTAAGAGCGTACATACCTATTCTGCTCAAAGCGCTTTCTTAAGGGCCATGATTTTCCCAGTCTTCGATATCGTAGAAATAATCATAGTTCCCTCAGAAAGCAAGTAAAAGTATACCACATCCCAATCCTTGTATCTTTGCCTGCTCCAAAAACAAAATACCAAACTAAGACTTAGTTTGAGACGGCTTTTTTACTGCTTTTTAAAACAGCTTTCTAGTTCAAAAATTAAATTTTTTTTACAAGAAATCCGCTTTAAGTAGTAGTTAAAAAACCGTCCCAAACAAAGCCTAAGGTACTTTGTAGTTTGAGTTTATCGTGGCTTGATTGGAATTTTGCATTGTATAGATGGCTTGAATGCTTTGGCCCATGTCCGAACCAGAGCAGGGCCTAAAAGATGGACAAGAACCTGGAAGATGAAATTTAGTTGCCATTAAAAACCAGCTCAAAACTCAATACCTTGAGAAAGTGAACATTAGTTTCCTTTACATAACTGATAACAAGTAGAAACTTGGGATCTCTTAAATAAAGAAAAGAATATCAAAATAGTTGATGGACTATTTACAGGGAGCTGTTTTAATTCTAGACTATTTTATGTATCCAATTTAAATATCTGAAATAGTCCTTTGACTCTTCAAATTTGATCTAAAATAGTTTTTTGACACTCCAAATCTGATCCAAAATAATCAACAAAGGAACCGTTTTGGACCATATTTGAGAAATCCAAAGATCATTTGAACTTTTTCTTCAAAATAGTCTGGGATTAAAATAATCCCATATAAATAATCTATGGATTATTTGACCTTCTTATCCCCCTAAAAATTACAGCCTCAACAGGGAAGTGAAGTGGAAAGACTTTTTTTTTTTTTGGACATTTAGGCCATTTAAGGCAAACTCTCACACACAACGCATACACAAAGACTCGAACCCAAGACCTCTTTATTGAAAGCCTAAGCTCTCAACCAACAGGCCAAGGTGAACTGTGTGTGGAAAGACTTTTTACTGTTTGATTTTTTCAATGAAACTTAGAAATCACTTCAGTTTATGAGGAAGTTAAAGACTGCAGAGCAATTTCGTTGAATTCACCCGGAAATGGATATTATTATCATCAAAATCATAGACTTCTACGCGGCAAAAACATTGAAATGGGAGGAAAGAGTTAGCACCTGACTGATAGACGACCAGAAAACCACCGAAATGTGCTTCTTCAGCTCCCTTTCTGAAGTAGGAGATGCAAGTTCCAGTTTTTGAAACCAAACAAATGGGCTATGATTATATAAAATGATGGGTGATTTTCCAGTTTGAAATGTATTAAGTATCAATAATAGCATATCATCTATCAACAGAAAAGAAACTGAAACCCAAATTTAGAACAAAAGCATTACTCAGTACTTCCAGCTTTTTTTTCAGAAAAATTGCATCAACATAATATAAAATAAAGGGACTAGAGGAAGAGGACGAGAGAGGACCAGGGTAGAGTGAAAACTTTCATAAAATATTAGAGAACACTAAAATATCCATTGTTTTTATTACACTCCATTCAGCGAATGTCGTTATTAAAATGTAGATTAGTAAAGTTAACCATAGTTTTAAATTGCAAATCATTGTCAATTAACCATGCATACGTGAAAAAAAAAAAATAGAACTGAGAGAAATACTTACTTGATCTCTATTACAGTATGAAATCAGTGATTGGCCGCTACAACAAAGCAAAGCAGGATCATCAGCAAGTGATGCATGCAAAGTCAGAGCATAAGGTATAAAACTATCCCATGGTTATCAATTTACGTGTCATTTATGTACTTAGTAATCTGTTACAGATGAAATCTTAACATAATTTTGAATAAGAAAAACTGATCATATGAAAGATTGTCGTAATTTTTAATAAAAAATAAACATGGGTAGTTCCATGGACATGATATAAGCCATCTAATTATAAAAAAGTTTAGGCTCCAAAAATTCGTGCCCGGCCTCTCTGCGGACCTCTTTCTTTTTCGGGTCATCGAGGAGAGTTATAACGCTCAAGTTCCAAGGTAAATTTTCAAAAGGAAGATTGGGTTTAAAATAAGACACTGCCCATAGATTTCTCCCTCATTTTACGAGGACTTCAGATCTGAGTTCAAGTTTCCTATATGCGCAAGCCCTTATAGTTAATTACCCCTCTCAATAACGAGAGAGCACTTTCAATTAAGACTTGACATCAAATAGATACGTAGGGATACGTGGTATCTGGTGTATAGTAGCAACATAGGTTTAGCTTTTTTAAAGATTTAATATTTAAAATTAAAAATTTCACCATCTTGCATTTAAAGCAGATGGTGGGGGTAGTGATGATGTACCCGATCAAGATCCCATGGTTCCGTCGTCCCAGGTCATTATGGTCATTGATCTCCTTAGTCAGAGGAGGTAGTCGATCCAATCTAATAGAAGGATCCTTGTTGGCAGCCACGAATTGTGTCATCCAAGGAAACCTTGTAGACTTGGGTTTAAATATTTGTCTAAGGGGACAAATTTGAATCCACCTTAGCTAACATAGGGCTTATGTCCTATCGATTATATTATATTGATTCATATCTCAAAGATTTGAAGTCATTAGGGAACATATAAACTATGACCATAACCATAATACAGTGGAATCATTGGACCAAGCCACTAGGTCAGAGGGATGCGATCATGATAGTTCCCACATGGAGCCGTTTGACAAAACCACATGTTATTTGTGGATTCATATGGCTAAACCACTGATTAGATAATCAATGTCATGTCCTTACCGATAATAGACAGATTGAGAATGAGTCCTAATGATATTATCGACCAGACTGGCTCTTTGTGAGCTAAAGTAATTTTTCAATTTGTCCACCATGGCAAATTGTTATGGAGGGTGGATTGAGATTTGGCTTTAAGTATTTTAGTGATTTATTTCAATTTTAGAAATTTTAGACTTTTAATGACTTTTAAGCCTAAATAAAGTGACAAGTGTGCAAGGGCCGCTGCACCGGCGCCTGGGTGCAGTGTTAAATAGGCAAGGGTTCTCACATCAAGGACGGATGTGGGCAAAGAAGCTAGTCCATGAAACTAAAATTAGGATAGGAACTTGGAATATAGGTTCCCTTACAGGAAAACTAATGGAAATAATAGATATTATGATTCATAGGAAGTTAAATATTTTGTGCATTCAGGAAACTAAGTGGGTTGGAGAGAAGGCTATGAAAATTGATAGTTTAGGATTTAAATTTTGGTATTCGGTTAGGAGTCGTATTAGAAATGGTATAACACCTATAGATAAGAGTTTAAAGGATAATATTATAAAAATTAATAGGATTGGTGATAGAATTATAACTTTAAAGATGATTGTTGATGATAATATTGTTAATATTATAAGTGCTTATGCTCCTCAAGTAGGTTTGGATATAAATTCTAAATTAAATTTTTGGAATGACTTAGAAGAATTAATACAAAAGATACCTCTTGAAGAAAGAGTTTTTATTGGAGGAGATTTAAATGGACATGTTGGTAGAGAGGTAGATGATTTTAAAAGCATTCATGATGGTGATCATGGATTTGGAACGACGAATGAAGGTGGCAAGATCATATTAGATTTTTGTTTAGCTTATGATTTTTCAATTGCTAATACCTTATTTAAGAAAAGAAATGAGCATCTCATCACTTATAAAAATGGATATAGTACAACCTAAATTGACTATTTTCTTATTAGAAAATTAAACCGTTTAGATTGCAAAGATTGTAAAGTTATTCCGAGTGAAAGTTTATGTACCCAACATCGATTATTAGTTTTGGACTTTAAGATAAAGGGGCATAAAATAAAAAATAAAGTAAAACGTTTTTCGAGGATTAGATGGGGGCATTTAAAGAATATTAACCAAAATATTTTTGTGAGTAAGATTTTAGATCTTAAGATTTTGTACGTGCATGAGGATGCTAATATTATGTGGGAAAAAGTGAATAGTGATATTAAGAATATTGCAAAAGATGTCATTGGAGTATTAAAGGGAAAAGCTCCTAAAAGTAAAAATAGTTGGTGGTGGAATCCTAATGTGCAAGAAAAAATTAAAAATAAGAAGCTTTGTTATAAAAATTGGTTTAATTTTAAAAATTAAGATAATTGGAAAATATATAAAGTGGCTCATAAGGATGCTAAGAAAGCAATATGCGATGCAAAGGCATTAGCTTTTAGTGATTTATATAATAGATTAGATACTAAAGAGGGAGAAAGATATATGTATAAGTTAGCCAAACAAAGAGATAGGAGTAGTAAGGATTTAGTTCAAGTGAAGTGTATTAAAGATGAAGATCAAAAAATACTTTTCTTAGAAGATGATATTCAACAAAGATGGATGAGATATTTTGCTAAACTTTTTAATGAAGATTGTGAAAATAAGATTGACTATAGTGACCTTAGCACCCTAAATGAAAATAAAGATTTCTATTTTTATCGGCGTATTAGTAAAACTGAAGTTAGAGAGGCTTTAAAGAAAATGAAGGGTGGAAAAGCTGTTGGACCTGATGATATCCCAATAGAGGTGTGGAAATGCTTAGGAGATGAAGGAATTTCATGGCTTACTAAACTTTTTAATACTATTTTGAAGACTAAAAAGATGCCAGATGAGTGGAGAATGAGTATGTTAATTCCTATTTTTAAGAATAAAGGTGATGTACAAGATTGTGCGAATTATAGAGGTATTAAGTTAATGTGTCATACTTTAAAACTATGGGAGCGAGTTATGGAGCATAGGTTGCGGCGTGATACTAATGTTTCTCAAAATCAATTTGGATTCATGCCGGGTAGGTCGACTATGGAAGCCATACATTTATTAAGAGGTTTGATGGAGAAATATAGAGAAAATAAGGAGGATCTACATATGATATTTATTGATTTAGAAAAAGCATATGATAAAGTTCCAAGAGAAGTGCTATGGAGAGTTCTTAAAAAGAAAGGAGTCAATAATGCTTATATTCAAATCATTAAAGATATGTATGCAGGAGCTATTACTTGTGTTCAAACACAAGGTGGATTGACCAAGTATTTCCCTATTTCGGTTGGGTTACATCAAGGATCAGCCTTAAGCCCATATCTTTTTACTTTAGTCATGGATGTTCTCACTAGACATTTGCAAGAGGATATACCTTGGTGTATGCTTTTTACTGATGATATTCTTCTTGTTGATAAGACTAGAGAGGGAGTTGAAGGTAAACTTGAATTATGGAGGTCAACCTTAGAGTCTAAAGGTTTTCGCTTGAGTAGATCTAAAACAGAATATATGGAGTGTAATTTTAGTAGTAATAGACCTACTGAAGGGATTGTGACTTTGGGCGATCAAGTCATTAATAAGAGTACACGTTTTAGATATCTTGGATCTATTGTTCAGAGTGATGGTGAAATAGATGGGGATATTATCAACAGAATTCAAGTTGGATGATTGAAGTGGAGGAATGCATCGGGCTTGTTATGTGATAGAAATGTACCCCTCAAACTTAAGGGAAAATTCTATAAGATGATAGTGAGGCCTGCAATGCTTTATGGTGCCGAATGTTGGCCATTAAAAGAGAAGCATAATACTAAGTTAAGTGTGGCAGAGATGAGAATGCTCAGGTGGATGAGTGGCTTTACCCTTAGAGATAAGATACGAAATGAACATATACATGAAAAGGTTGGAGTAGCTCCAGTAGAAGATAAAATTAGAGAGAGTCGCCTTAGATGGTTTGGCCACATAAAACGACGGCCTTTCGATGACCCGGTTAGGAGAGTAGAGGTATTAGATTTGACTTATATTAAGAAAGGTAGGGGTAGACCTAAAAAGACTTGGTTAGAAAATATTAGGAATAACCTTTCTTTATTAGATTTAAAC